ATCTGAAAATTTATATGGAACCACAAAAGATCCCAAATAGCCACGGCAGTCTTGAGAAAGAACAGATTTGGGGGTATCACACTTCCTGATACCAAACTATACTACAAGGCTATAGTAATCAAAACAGCATGTTACTGGCATAAAAACAGTCACAAAGATCAATGGAACAGAAAAGAGATCCCAGAAGTAAATCCACACCTATATTGTCATTTAACCTATGACACCTATATTGTCATTTAACCTATGACAAAGGAGGCAAGAATATACAATGGGGTAAAGACAGTTTCCTCAACAAATGGTGTTGGGAACACTGCTCAGAGACTTGCAAAAAAAGTGAAATTGGGCCACCTTCTTACACCATATACAAGAATAAACAAAATGGATTAAAGATTTCAAATGTAAGACCAAAAACCATAAAACTTCTAGAAGAAAACATAGGCAGTAAAATCTCTGATAATGCTATTAATATATATTTTTTGATACATCTCCTCAGACAAGGGAAACAAAAGAAAAAAACAAACGGGACTACATCAAACTAAAGTTTCTGCATTGCAAAGGAAATCATCAACAAAACGAAAAGACATCCTGCTAAACAGAATATATTTGCCTATGAAACATCTGACAAGGGGTTGATATCCAAAATTTATAAAGAACTCAACAACAAAAAACAATCCGATTAAAAAATGGGCAGAAGACCTGAATAAGTATTTCTCCAAAAAGGACATATGGATGGCCAATAGACATAAGGAAAGATGCTCAAGGTGATTAGTCAGAGAAATGCACATTAAAACTACAATGAGATATCATCTCACACTTGTCAGATTGGCTATCATCAATAAATCAAAAAACAACAAACATTGGCAAGAATGTAGAGAAAAGAGAATCCTTGTACACTGCTGGTGGGATTGCAAATTGGTATAGCCACTCTGGAAAACAGTTTGGAGGTTCCTCAAAAAATTAAAAATAGAACTACCTTTGGCCTAGCAATTGCAATTTTAGGTATTTATCCAAAGAAAACCAAAACACTAGTTCATTAAGATCTATACACCCTGATGTTCATGGCAGTGCTACTTACAACAGCCAAGATATGGAAGCAACCTAAGTGCCCTTCAATAGATGATTGGATAAAGAAGTTATGATTCATATATACACTGGAATATTACTCAGCTATTAAAAAAATGAAATCTTACCATTTGCAATGACATGGATGGAACTAGAGGGTGTTATGTGGAGTGAAATAAGTTAGACAGAGAAAGATAAATACCATGATTTCACTTACATAAGGAATCAAAGGAACAAAAGAAATAAACTGAACAAAAAGATACTCACAGATACAAAGAACAAACTGGTGATTGCCAGAGAGGAGAGGGTTTGCGGGGCTAGGTGCTAAAAGTGAAGGGATGAAGTACAAATTAGTAGTTACAAAACAGTCATGGGGATTTAGAGTACAGCACAGGGCACATAGTCAATATCATTGTAATGACTGTGTTTAGTGCCAGATGGGTGCTAGAGTAATAGGGAGGAAATACTTCATGGATTGTATAAATGTCTAACTTTTGAAATTTTTAAATAAAATAAAATTTTTAAAAATAAAGTCCATTAAAAAAGGAAAAAAATCTGAAATGTTAATAGCGATAATCTCCCTAGAGTGAAAATATGGGTAATTTATTAGGATGGCTTAAAATAAAGACAACTAAATGCTTTAGTCTTTATAGTTCACTGTGCCATTTACATTTTACAGAATAAACTCTATGCTGCTCTAAAAATGTGTATACATACAAGATTTTTTTCTCAACTTGCTTAAATACTAAACATTAAAACTGATTATAAATTTTAAAAGCGAGTATTATTTATTAAATAATTACAATTTGTTGTAGTGACTGTGCTTAAGAATTTCGCCAACACTCTGTGTAGTAACCAGTACGACTCCTTTTTAAAAAATGAAGAAATAGCGGTTCCGAAAGTTTTAGTTACATTGCTAATGGGTGGGCAGGTAAGCTGACTCTAAAACATTCTTTAATTTCTATGTAATACAGCTTCCCTAGAATTATTTGTTCAGCACTTTATAAACTAGTGCTAGTACATATATTATTTGAAAATACTTCACAACAATGCTATGAAGTGGGTTATACCCATAATTTATGTGAAACTATCAGAAGAAAAATGTGTGACAGGCACCACTGCAGTGCTACCACCATCAAAAACAGCACAATCTCCATCAGATAAAACAACATAAGCAGCATTGCTACAGAACACAGTAGCTGCCAAACCTACTCCTAATAACTTTTATATACTACAGTGATCTTATTTTACCAGACGGCATCCTGAATCATGAATCTTCCCTAGGACTAAGACAGTTCTTTCAAAATGTGTCAAGTCAAGGAACTAAAACTGAATATTCTCCTTATATTATTTTGAAGTTCAAAGAGATATTGAGACTGATTTCTTGCTTTCATCAAAGCTTACCACCCCACTGCTCAAGTTATTTCAACATATGACAGAACTGATAAACTGAGAATGAATTGCCTACATCTGTGTTTATGATGCCATTTCATGATTCCTTAATTTACAGGATGACTCAACTGAGGCTCGCCTATTTTTAAGTAAATTGGTCTATTTTAGGTAAATTGGTCCTCATGAAAATAAGCCAAGAGCAGAATGTACATGGAGCCTGAACAAGGGAAATCCAAAACCTAGCCTGAGTTACATTACAATATCAGCATCCAGGAACAAGATCAAACACATGGAAAAGCACCTGTCAAAAGGATATAGGGTAACTATTGACCAATTCTGGGACAATGCGACCATCAAAGAAAAAAGTAACTGGATGATAAGAAAATAACCTGATTAAAAAACATAGACAAAAGATTTGAACAGCCATTCTCTTAATGAAGATTTACAGATAACGAGCACATGAAAAAAGATGCTCAACATAATTATCCAATAGAAATACACAAATTAAAACCTCAAAGACACCACCATCCACTTACTAGGATGGCTTTAAAAAAATATATCAAGTAGTGATGAAGATGCAGATTAATTGTTCATACACTGCTTGTGGGAAGAAAATGGCACAATCCACTTTAGAAAAGTTTAGCAGCTTTTTATAAATATACATACTTACCATAGGATTCGATAAGTTTTTATTTACCTAAAACAAAAACCTGAACAGCAATGTTCATAGCGGCTTTACTCCTAATCATCAAAACCTGGAAATTCCAAACTGCCTCAACAGGGGAATGGATGAACTGTGATACATCTACACAATAGTTATTACTCAAATAAAAATGAACAAACTCTTGATATACACATCTTGAATGAACCTCAAGTACAACACCCTAAGTGAAAAACACCAGAGTTAAAGGCTGCATACCATATGATTTCATTTACATATTCTGAAGAAAGCAAATCATAAGATCAGAAAACAGATCAGTTGTCAGGGGTTAAGGAGAGGGGAAGGGCTTGAAAACAAAAGGATAGCAAATGCATTTATTGGGCAGTTGGGAATGATAGAATTGTTCTGTATTTCGATTTTAACAATGACTACATGAACCTATAAATGATAAAATTCATAGAACTTAAATCGAGTAAATTTCAGTCTGTAAGTTAAAAATGAATTTAAAAAGAAAAATCAAGTGAAAATAACAATTGCAAAGGATGAAATCCTTTAATTACTGAAAACAGAAAACCAACAAATCCAAGGAAGTTTGAGACTATCTGGACTGACAGCATGTCTCCTGATACAATGCTTTGAGAATCTGGCATTATGTCTGGGGTAGTCCTGCTCAAAGAGCTTATAGAATATCTAATCATGAGAAAATACCAGACAAACCTCTATTTTGCAGAGGTCATTCTACAAAATAACTGGCTGGAACTCTTCGAAAATGTTAATTACATGAAACATAAAAACTTAGGAGCTAGTCCAGAAAATAGAAGTCTAAAGAAATATGAGAACCTAATGCAATGTACAATCTTTTCTATAAAGGACTTTATAATGAGACAACTGACAAAACCTCAATATAGTCTTCAATTAGGTAACAGTATTGTGTCAATGTTATTTTCTAATTTTGATCAATGTACTGTGGTTGTGTAATAAAATTCCTTGTTTGGGGATGTGGGGAGGGAACACAAATATTTAAGGTTACTCTTAAATGGTTCCAAAAAAAACGAGAGAAAAAAAATGAGGTAAATGTTCACATTTAGCAAATCAGAGTGAAGGGTATCCAGGAATTCTGTGTTATTCTTGCAACTTTTTAAAAAGTAAATGTCCCTTGAGCTGAAAATAACGAAGTAATCTAAAGGATGAAATCAATATGAACACATTTACTATAATTAAGAGTCTAGAGAGCGGACTCTGGCATTGACTCAGTACTGACCGATAGGTGTGTCCTGGCATACAGCCTGGAGTTCTGGCTTCTACTGTGGCAAGGAATTAGCTTCATGCGGTTAAACGTGAATTGCATAAGCAACTCTCTCCCTCAACTGTTTCCTTGCTCATCAAGTAACTTTTGCCTATAAAACAGCAACTTCAAGTGCAGATCTGGCTACAAAAGAAGATAACTGATCATACTGACTTAGAAATTATATTTATAAACTGGGTTACAATCAGCTTCTTGTGAATTTGATTAATACTAGCATTCCTAAGTTGTATCAATTCTGGGATATCAACAAGAATATTTTGGGACACATAGCCTAAAAACTATACTCTAAAATGTGAGACTTATCAAAGCTGTATAATTCTGTGCAAGATCTTAGCTAACAGTTTTTCTTAGTTACATTCCTACACCTCGTCACAGCCTTATTTCACCCAATAGGTTTCATTCTACAGAAAGACATGACATCAAAAAAGAGTAAAACTGATTAAGATTAGTGGAAAACTATATTTTTCAGTGGGAAAACCAAATGACAAGTACTGAAATAAATATAATTCCATTTTGGAAAATTGCATGAGATACTGTCATTTAAATATGACACTGATGCAATCACCTCAAGGACACAAAAACAGGGGAGAATGTTTTTATTTTCATGTTTTTGAATGTCTTGACATAGAATAAACAGACTACAAGTGAAAGCTTTTAAATATGTAAACAGAAAGGAGCCACTATAGAAAATTCAAGCATTTATTCATAACTTCAGAATTAAGGAGTCCAATCTTAAAAAAACAAAAATCTTCCATTCAGCACTTACTCAATTTCCTTATTTAGTGGTATTCCTAGAATTTTAAAATTAGCTCTTAGTTTTGGCACACTTAGGAAGTATGATCTTGCTTACAGAAATAGAATCTTAATATTTCATCCTCAGACACTTTAAAACCCAACCTAATGCTTTTCTTTTTAAGGATGTGGAAGGCATTCCTCATTCATCTGAATCATGGTGTTATATAGCATGAAAATAACTTTTATTACTTCATCATCTGTATGCTGGATTCTAATATTCTTTTTGCTAGTGATGTATTAAATGACAGATATAGAGAAAATTCCTTCTTTCTCAATTTGTAAACCAAAATTTTAAAGCAAAATCCTTGAAGTAAGTGATAGGAAGACATTTTTATGACATAAGCAGCTATTGCCCTAAGCCACTGACGCAGGCAAAAATAACAAAGGTACAAGTGTTATTTAACCTTTAAATAATTAGTCTGTTTGCTACAAATCCACAAATATTTTAAATATATTTCCTTCTCCAATAAAAATTAAGATAACCCCCAATTTAATAACTTTTGAGGAATTAATAAAAAATTAACTTTCCTCCTGAATGTCCAGTGATAACTGAACCCCAACTTCCCTACCCCAAGAACATAAAAATGATCTAAAGTGGACCAAAGTGCATAATAAATTCATACACTGTTTTTTACTAAAGCAATCAATATAAAGAATGTAAAAGTTTGTTTTATGCTTGGAAGATTTAGGTAACCTCCAAGGAATCACAACTTTTAAGTTTTTTAACCCCAGTGCTAACGTATCAGAAAATACTTGTCTCATAAAAACAAAACCACCAACCAAAAAGGAAACAATAAAATTCTACACATTCTCCATAATCTTTTGTTGCCTAAATTTTAAAACCATCAATCTTCTTCAGTGCTTTAACAATCAAAATATTTATTCAGGTCTAAAACTAAATTTCTCCTCTCTGAATACTGGAAGCATAGATGGAACAAACAGTAATTTTGTCCAACAACTTGAGCCTAGAGATGCAGAAACCATCTACAACGTGATCTCATTATGTCATCATCATCGATTCACCTTCTTCACCAGTAGCATCTTGAGAAATGTGAAGGTCTTCAAGCATCTCGGCCAGACTAATTCGAGGTGCTCCTTCATCATCTGTGTCACTTTCCACAGGAATGGCTGAATCTGAGAAAAAATACAAGGAAGATTTCAAATAAATAAAAATATGTAAATAGGCAAATACCTGCCCCCACCATTACTACTCTTACTTAACCATATTAAATCCAGAGCTCTGCTTTCATATCTAAAGTATCCATTTAAACATCCATTGAATGACTGAACTACATAAATATACGAATAAATATGCACTAGCGTAGGGGTCAACAACTTAAGGGATTACACTAGGAAGCAAATGATCTCAAATGTGGTATAGCAAACATTTTAATAAGTTTTACTGTTCATGTTTTTTCTTTAATAAATGTTTAACTAAAGTAGTTTTCAAAACACAATAAAAGTAAATTATGAAATCAAAGTTTAAGATACTAAAATATTCGTTCTGGGAGAATCATCTATATACAGAAGATACAACGTAAATACACTTAAAACACCAACCTCTATAAATGTTTACATTTTTTCTAATTGCCTCATCTTCTTCAAGATCTTCAAGGAAATCTTGGTATTGCCTACAGAAAAATAAAGAAATATTTAAATATTTCATCTTTACCAAGAAAGTATGAAGTTCTCTTTGTTTTTAGCACTAGAAGATAAATGTGTTCCAAGTATTAAAATCTTTAAAATATCTGAAGGTCAAATGTGAATGATAAATATTCTGACAGTTTTTAAATAATCTTTTCTTTCAAAATTACATGATAAAAATATAAACTGAATATAAGATGATGTTAATTTAAAATTAATACAATGAGAAGACCCTCTTCCTCCTTTACCTTCCCCAAAAAAGTCTTATGGCCAAGTTGAAATAAGATATTTTAAAGACTATAGATGAAATACTCAAATAAATTTATAATATCTAATTAATTTAACATTATATATTTATTTTTTTTTAATTTTTTATTGTTTTAGGCGAGGCAACCCTTGGTTGACCTCACAGATTGCAAGGACCTTGTCAGCTTACAATCCCTTTTCATTTTTTACGCCTACAGCACCTAGCCTTCCTAGGTGGTCCCCCATCCAAGTACTAACCAGGCCCGACCCTGCTTAGCTTCCGATATCAGACGGGATCAGGCTTGTTCATGGCCATAGACTACCTTATATATTTAATACATACTTACTTTAAATTACCTTATGAAAGCATATTTTAGAAATATCGGTTTCACCACTCACATTTAATAATACAATTTTATATAAATTCTTCATTTTTTTTAGAAATCAGTGTCTTCACCATCATTACGACCACTTTTTAAATTATCCAATACACTTTTCTAGAACAAAATATCTTCATTTCTCCTTAAGCTGAGAAATAGCATATTTGATATCAATGAGCTATTTTCTTTTTATTTCAACTCATACGTACTCATTTGCTATTTGTGATATCCATAAGGTAATTACTTATTATATTTTGACTTTTCAAATGAATTGTTTACAATAACACTGCAATTGTCAGATTATAACACAGGAAATAATAACTAAATCTGTGCTAAATGTCATTATATCGTCTTATACTGGTAAGAATCCAAAATTAATATTGAGTGCCAGGATCACTGTATGATGACTATTTCTTTATAATATAAAAACCATAAAGACTTATCATAAGGACTTCCTCTGAGACAACATATAAGATTTTTAAAAAAGTAGGACCTTTCATCATCTGTATCCATGTTTTCTCTATCTCTTGCAAGCTCTTTCAGTTTCCAGTTTCTACGACGCTGACGTTTGGTACGGTCATAGCTCTTCTTGATTAATACCTAAAATTAACAGAATATTTACAAAGTTACAAAAAATGAGAACTAGGTAACAGGGCCTCAAAATTAATAAAGTTAAAAAATGAAAGGTTTAGGAATGCCAGGAAATAATCAAATTAATGACAGAGGTTACACCCCAGGGGAAAGAAGTAGGGAGGGATCCAGAGGCAGTGTCCAGAGAATTTTGAACATTTTTCTCCTGGTACTTAATATTTTATGAGAATGTATTCAGCCATTATTTGTATAATTATTAAAATTTACTAAGTGAAATTTTCCAATGATTGAAATTTTTTCCTTTGTACCAAAAACTTCAGTTTATGGTGGGTTTTTGTGGGGTTTTTTTTGTTTTGTTTTGTTTTGTTTTTTTTACCAAAGTTCAGCTTTTAGGTACTATTCACATAAATCATTCTGAAACATTACTAAGAGACGTTTTCTCCCTTTTATGCCTACTAATAAGCACTTATAGAACTATACATATAGAACTATATATACCGTTCACAGTTATGTCTTAGAATAGATCAATATACTGTGGAATAAATAAAATAGTATATAGTATTATACAATACAAAATCTTGTAAGACCATCTTGATCTCCTCTTATGACCTTGTTAGAAATATCTAGACTTACAACTAAACCATGCTTCTATTTCTTAATTTACTAATTAATAAAAGCACAACTGGGTGGTGAGGAATCCTTAAACCAAGACTTTATTTTTGATCACAGCTAAAGAGATCAATGTTTATTTTAAAAGATTAAGCAAGCAGAAGATAGGATCTTTCACATTTCACATTCACTATTGCTCATGAGTCTTTTAAACTCATGTTTAAACAGGTTTTTTTCAAGTCATTCTTTCTCTAAAAGTTGCAACTGTGAAGATCATTTTCGACTGCAATTATATTTAAACTGAAAAAACAGTTTAACTCCGCCTTCTTAACTAAACAATGCATGAAATAAGCTGAGCCTAAAAGAGTGAATCTGAATAAACTCTAAAGGTCATCAATTTTCACTGCAAATTTATATTTGTTTACGAATAGTATCAAGTATTTAGACAGAATATGAAAATCTGATTTTAAGGGCAACGAAAAAACTCTTTAAATCTTGGGGTTTCCCCACTAAAAATAATGATTTAAAATTAAGGCTTCTGCTATTATATCTTAACTGCAATTTCAAAAGAAATCTCTAAATTGTCTTGTTATTTGCAAGAATGTGAACTAGTGCAATCTACCTGTAAGAGTTACATCATTCCTCTTTAATACAGGAAAAAAAGAAAAAAATCTAAATCTTACCACATCTGGAACTCTATCTGGGTTCATTTTGTTGACATGCTCATCATTTAAGTTACAGTTTGCCAAATCAAACCTGAAAACAATAAAACACTTAATGGCAAAAACATTTTTCTTTCCATGTAACTTTTTATACTTTATAAATGATCGCCTAGAAGTTCCTCCTAAGATCAAACATTTAATATGCTTTCCCACTTTAAAAGTTTTGCAGTTTACTATACAGGGAACATGCTTCTACGGAACCCAGTAAAAATAATAGGGCACTCTTATCTCTTTAGTTTCACATATCCATTATCATCCACCTTACCATATACTTGTGAAGAAGCAAAACAGACTTATATCATCGGTCTAACATTAGGATTCAGTTAGATAGTTCCATTCGGTTTATAACAAAACAAACAAACAGAACCCCATTCTCTAGTAAAGGGAACTGAAACTCTAAGAGCAAAAGTAATGTTCAAGGCATGCTGATAAGCTCTGCATCAGAATGGACTGTCCTATGCCTGTAAAGACCCTTTATATTCATGGCTGCCACATTTTAAAAGAAAATATTTGAGCAGCAGCATATGGATAATAAAAACTACCTAAACCTCCAAAAAGCTATATGATCTAATGATACAACTTCAGGGTTCAATTCTTTAAAATTTGGAACATATCACATTTTAAAACGATAGCCAAAATGGATTAACTATGGGCTTATGTCCAAACCACAGTTCAATTTAGTTATCAATAAAAAGAGCTACAAGGCTCGTAAGAACTCAACTTCTTTTTGGAATACACAACTTTAGTATTTTAGATAGCTTTGCTGCCCCCCTCTCAATTTTGCAATGCTAATTGACAGTTTAAAATACTATAAAATAATACGAACCCCAACACCAGGTCTCCAGGATTCAGAAGATGTCCCAAATGAGTACGACAAAAATACTGTTTATCTGTATTCATTTCAGATGTTTTCTGTACCCAGACTTCCCCAAGGGTATGCTTAACAGGAAAGAAAATGCATTCTTCAATAAGATAAGCATAACTTAAAAAGCATTTCATAGAAAACTTATATACAATGTTGATTTTTGTTTTCTAATTTTCATTTAAAAGACAGGAATGTTTTTTTCAGATTTCTGAAACTTTGAAAATAAACTATGAGTACAGAAAAAGATTTATAAGGAATACATAAAATAAATACTTTTGTTAAGATTTTAGTCAAGGCTTTTATTAACGATTTTAGTCAAGGCTTTTATTAACGATGTCTTTTGTTAAGATTTTAGTCAAGGCTTTTATTAACGATGTCTTTTGTTAAGATTTTAGTCAAGGCTTTTATAAAACATTAATGATGTCACCTTAAAACAGACATATGTAGAATTTTCCAAAAAAGAGGTAGGGATATGCTTTCACAAGAAGGGCCAATATAGACTGAGCAAAAAGAATAAGTGAAAAAGTAAAATCTTAAATCCAGAAAATATCCTAAGCAACTCCTTGTGTTTTACCCATAGTTTCAAAAAAAAAAAAAAAAATCTAGCAATCCCAGTGGCCCCATTACTACTAGAGAATCTAAACGATATTAAATTAATTTTTTGGATGTCTACTATTTTGAGGTATAACACTTTAAAACTATTTGTTGCAGAAACAACATCCTTAGTTTGAAACTCTAAACTAGAAAAACATTAAAGTCCCCTTCCGACATGATTTTACAAGCAACTATAACTGACGTTCAGATTTCCTGACTTAATTACATATAGCACACTCCAATACCATTTACTAAAAAAACACACACACACAAAAAAACAGACCCATATGGGATCAAGAGTAATACTAAGAGTTACAGACAGAATTACAGAATTTGAGATGAAAAAAAAAAAAAAGAGGTAGGGATAAAGGGAGAAACTGAAATAACACACAGGTCTCAGATTTAGGAAAGAATTGGGAGGAAAAAAAAAGTGAATGACCAGAAAGAGACTAAATCCTATGTAACAGGATACACTTTCTAGCTACTAGGCTGCTTCTATTAGAGACTTATGACCTGTTCTAGCTAAGTGTATTTTTTGAAAACCAGGAAAACATAGTATCTGCTTTTATCCCTAAGGGGAAATGGTATTCTTATACATATGTTATTAATGATAAAAGTTTCCTCTTAATTAAATTTTTTATTTTAAATATAAAAGTGAAAAGTAGTGTTTCCCATTTCCGATGATTTTCCCAAATTATCAGAAGTTATTTTTGTCTCAAGACACAATATTACCTCAATAAAAATGAGCACCATTAGTATACAGACTGAGAGTGTCTAAATACTAATTCACAGTAAAAGAAATCAGACTTATTATACCCTTGAAGAAATACCTGGTATCAGATACGGGTAAGAATTATACAATGTGATTCTGGAACACCTAAATGTTGTGGTGTTATACCAGAAAGTAAGGATGCTTTCAAGGACTAGTAAAGTCATATAAAAAGGACACAGAAATAGGCCTACATTTACTAAAGAAATTGAATCAGTAATTAATAACTTTCCAAAACAGAAAGCACCAGGCCCAGACAGATTCACTAGTGAATTCTACTAAACATTTAAAAAAGAAATTATACCAATTATCTACAATCTCTTCCAGAAGACAGAAGCAGAGGGCATACTTCCTAACACATTTACAAGGTCAACATTACCCTAATACCAAAATTAAACAAAGACGTTACCAGGAAAGCAAACTATAGACCAATGTCTCATGAACAAGATGCAAAAATCCTCAACAAAATACAGAAGAATTGTACACCATGACCAAGTGGTATTTACCCCGTCTTCAAGGCTGGTTCAACATCTGAAAATCAATTCATATGATCCATCAATTATATCAAAAAAGAAAAATCATGATGGTATCAACAGATACAGAAAAAGCATTTGACAAAATCTAACATCCCATTCATGTTAAAAATTCTCATAAAGTAGGAATAGCAGGGAACTTTCTCAACTTGATTAAGAATATATACAAAAAACTTACAGCTACCAGTATATTTAATGGGGAGACACTTGAAGAATTCTCACTAAGATAAGGTATAAGCAAAGAGTGTACCCTCTCATCATTCCTTTTCAATATCATACTAGAAATCCTAGCTAATGCAAAAAACAAGAAAAGTAAATGAAAAGTATATAGATTGGGAAGGAAAAAATTATCTTGTTTGCAGATGACATGATTATGTATGCAGAAAATCTGAATGGACCAAAAAAATTCCCAGAACATAGCAAGGATACAGGATACAAGATTATAAACAAAAGTCGATTGCTTTCCTATATATCAACAGGAACAAGTGAAATTTGAAATTAAAAACACGATACCATTTACATTAGCATCCAAAATAATTAAATACTTAGACAGAAATCTAACAAATACAAGATCTTTATGAGAAAAACTACAAAACTCAGATGAATAAAATCAAAAAAGAACTAAGCAAATGAGAAATTCCACGTTCATGGATAGGAAGACTGAATATTGTCCTGATTAAGTTCTACTCGACTTGATCGACAGATTCAATGCAACCCCAATCAAAATCTCAATGGGATACTAGTTTGAAAAAACATAAAAAGAACTTTGGGACATAAAAGGAAATTTGAATACAAATGATAATGTTTGTATGATAATATTTTAATTACGTAGAAAATGTTCCCATGTTTTAGAGATGCATACTGACATATTCAGTATTCAGTAAGACTATAGGTTATATTTAATTCAAAATATTTGAAAATTTTTTAAACTATAAAAAAGGTTAGCTTATCATTTGATTCTCCTGTGTAAATGTAAAGCAAAAAAATGCTTAATCATAATAAACATTTTAAAAAATGTCTCCAACATTAAAGAGAAAAAATTAACTTACCAGAGTATAAGTCTGTTCATTTTCACAATAACCAATGTTAAAAGCAAACAACATACAAACATGGAATGAATGTGGTGCTAGCTTTATTTGGAACATTTTGGAATTACCAACAAATTTTTAAAAAATACAAATTAAAAAAAAAAAAGGGACCAAAACAATAAGTTGGGGATGAAAAAAAAGGCAAGCAGAATGGAACTCACCTTTTTTGATATCATTCCAGCACCTGCACTGCGTTTTAGGTCTCGGACTATGCTGCATTCCATCACAATAAACTCCTCTAACTGTTTGGGATGGCATAAACTATTGAAAGGGTGACTCCAGAAAGTGTTCCCATCAATATCTGCAACTAAGAATAAACACAGAACATTAAAGAACAAGAGAAATGAAGTATTTCAAAAGTCAACAAATGTTATAACTAGGCAGAAGTTGGTATATATGAAGTGGGAAGCATCAGTTCAACAGGAACCACAGTTGGCAACTCACTCTCTAGGGTCATCATTTATTCCTATAAATCAGCCCCAAACTTCTCACAGCACAAGAGAATTATCAGCCGTCAAACAAATCTTAAGTGATTACTACAATCAGAACACCGCAGAGCTAAGAGCCTTTCTAATATAAGGTCAGATCCAATCAGTTGTATAGTTGTTTCATGTGCTTACATTTTATTTTAGAAACATTATCAGCCATCTTAGCTGCTTAGTTTATGGGAAAAAAAGTTCCACCTGACAGAAGTTCACCCCGATATTGTAAAAAAAAGATCTTTGACTAATAAATTCGAATTGACAAGGATAATACATGACTTTCTGGAAAATACCAAAATAAACTTAATTTTTTATAAGAAAACTTACATTACAGGAAATAGTGCAAAAGATCAAGAAGTAGGAGATGCAAACAAGTACTGAGACATCTATAAAAATAGGGTCTTCTTTAAAATAGTTTTTATCAAGGGAATGTTAAAAATTATGTACAATGATGGTGAAATTACTTCAAATTCATAATTAAACTGAATATTCTACAGGTTTACAAAATCAAATGTTCCACACTTTAAAATATTTGCTATACACTAAAATGTGGCAATGAACTTAAATAGTCACAAACATTTAATGAGGTAAATAAATAGATTTCATTAAAACTAAATGGAATAAAACTAATACATTTTTAAAGTTCACAGAATTGTTTCTTCAAGTAAAAAATATAAGGATAGTTTACCAAAAGTAAAAAATGTAACTAATTTTTCAAAACAATATTATTGAGAATGTCTGATAAAATTAACAACATAAATTATTACTGCTTGCTAGACAGAACTGTCAAGGCAAATAGTTCCTAAAACTTACCTTGGACGGTATTTGGATCTATGAGATGGATGGCGCTGGTAACTCGAATACACACACAAATCTGATTCATATTTCCCAAGCTTTGTGCCAGTTTTGGAGACAGACAAACAACATTATCCTAGGCATAAGAACTACCATTTAGAGTGAAGCAATTCCTAAATAAGTCTCCAAAAAACACTCATCAATGTAAACCTGACCCAATTCAAAACATTAAATTTTTAATTCTACATATCAACAAAGGTCCTAAAGAATCAGGCCTTTAGAGAAACAGAAAATAAGCTATGCATTTTGTCTTAATAAAAATGCTTTAAAATTTTTTCCACATCTTATTCGCCAAGCTATTATTTCAATTTTATGTAAGAGTAACTGCTTATCACTCTATATTAACATAGTGTACATTCTGAGCAAAATATTAAACATCAGAAGGAGTGATTTTCTAAACTACCTGACTTCTCTCAATCTCCACAAAAAAAACAAATTTCAGAGAAGCCATGTTTCTCTTTCATGGCTACCTATAACAATATGTAATCAGAGATCTAATGCCCCCAAAAGCATACCTCTATGTAGTACACTGGAAAATAATATCAGTAATGTGGTTATCTGTTTTTAAACTATATTAAAATATAAAAGAATCTGGATTATATTTAAGCTGTATCTATTCAAATCATAGTCTCCTCCACTGAAAGGACATTCTGTGCATCCCTAATAGCACCTGGTCTAGTCCTTTATAACTTTGTAAATCTCCAAAGATTAATCAAAATATTCCTTTACATTGTGTATCCGTCCAGTTACTTATATGAATCACTCCAAGCACTTAATACACAAGGTGTTACATATGCCCTCAAACCTAAATTTGTATTTCCTAGCGTATGCACCAGGAAAATGTTAACTGTTTTAAACCAGGGGTTTGCAAAATATGACCTTCAAGCCCAGTATGGCCACAGCACACTTTTATAAAGTTTTGCTGGAACACAACCTTGGCCATTCATTTACATATTATCTATGGCTACTCTGTAAAACAGTAGCAGAGCTCAGTAGTTGGCAAAAGATTTTATATGGCACGAAAGCTGAAAATATTGACTACTTGGCCCTTTACAGAATAAGTTTGCTGACCCTGTTTTAAGCCATCACTTCATCCTTGGTACTGTACTACATCATAAAGTAGTGATACCAGCTTTAAAGTTTAAGAGTCACAGACCTAGGCACAAATCCTGGCTTCATTATTTTTGTAGTTAAATAACTTTGGGCACGTCTTCTAACCTCCCAAAGCTTCAATTTCCTCATCTTCAAAATGATAATTTGATTTACTCCAGTTATTATGAGACGTAAAGAGGTAAAACATACTCAAGTACTTAGATATTAATTTTTATGAAATGCTCACAATTATGGCACTTATCATAATCAGTGTTTTAAATATCAACACATAAACTCCTATATGGCAGGAATCTCTAGAATACATAATCCCTGACACACAGCCTTCTATATAGTAGATCTTCAATAACTATTTGTCAAATTTTAATTCGTTTACGTTTTTGAACCAAAGTTTTACCATAGTACAATTAAATAAATTGATAATCTTACATTTTAAATGTTATTATGTTTTTAAATCACAAAAGTGACTCTATGGTCTCATTTCCACATTACTGTTTATTTTCATAATGCCAAAATCCAGTTTGAACATATTCCAAAGTGGTTTAATGCCATTTCCTGTATTCAAAGTTTCACAGAACTGTCATGTGTCCACTAGGAACACAAATTTTAAGAAATATGGACATTAAAAAAAACTGCAATAGGCCTTTTAATTAGTACACCAAAATAAAAGGTATGCCAATTTATACTTTTAAGCATGATTACTTTTTAGTATCTTTTAACATGGCTTAATGTGTTAGAATCACTTAAGAAGGAAGTTATTCTAAATTTTTAACCAATCCCAACAGGAAATCAGGAGCTAATAATTACATAAAAACTAATTAACTACTTGCACTCTTTTATAAATATGGATTAATTAAATAAGAAAAAGTACCTTGCATATTGGAACAATTTCCAAAGAAAAAGTGCTTTTGTAATTGTATGTGTTACTACGGATATCCTGAGAGATGAGTCTCTGTGAGGCTTTGTATCTATTAAGAGAAAAATAATAATAAAAAGACAAAGGCCTTACTTGTATAGTCTCGAAATATCAATTTTCATCAAATCAAATCATCACTGTCCAAGTTTTGAAACAGCTACCTAATGTCTGCTATGGTGAAGCCTAATTTTAATTTTACCCACTCATATTTCAAAACCTTCAACAACATGACTGCACCCTAACTATTTTCAACTTTACTAAAAAACTCCAAAACATGCCCTTGGCTCAGACCAATCTAGTCTATGTACAGCATCTATTAAAAGACCAATCTAGTCTACATACACAAGTCTTTCTTTACACTAATCTCAACTTTCAATATAAACTCTACCTTTGAAAATTTCCCATTTTAGAAGCAAAGTCCTTCCTCCTCCATGAAGCTTCTCCCCAAAGCCCTCTACCCCAATCTTTCTTTTCTCTTATTAAAAAATAAATCAGTGGTTCAGCCTTACAGTGCTTCTTATCATGGGGTGGGGTCTAGATCCCCAAAGTGGTTCTTACATGCTCTTTGGCTAATACTTCCCTTAAAGTGTCTAATCCAATGAATGCTTACTAATTGTGTAAGTATCCCTATACTATAATTTTAAATATTTTAACATAATTTTTAATATTTTAACATGTCTCAGCCTGTGACCTACATCTACTCCCAGCTCCTTGGACTTAATCACATTTAGGTTCAGAACATACCTACAAGGAACTGTGCACTGAAGAAATTCTACCATCTTCTGAGCATGCTGCTTTGAAGAATAATAGAAATCCAGTCCATCTTAAAAAAAAAATCCACATGAAAATAATTCTGCAAAACAAGATTTTCCTCTACTAATACAACTGTTTAACAAATTAAACGTGTATTTAAAAAATCAAATTATTAGCAAATATATTCTAACCACAACAATTAGGGATGTTGTATCATTTAAGACTTGTCTGATAAAAGGATAGACAAATCAGACAAATGATACAAAAATAAGATTCGCAATTTTAATTTCATACTAAATAAAATTCAAGGTCAAGAGGGGAGAGAAAAACACTAAACAGAACATAGAAAGATATTTTATGTAATAAATGGAACCATCTACCAAGAAGACAATAGTACACCTAACAACGGTATTGAGATGAAGAAAAAAACTAGTAAAAAGAAGAAATCAACAAATGTTAACACATGTATAATCATTGTGGGAAACTAGTAAAAGACTATCAAAACCAAAATGACCAAACTGACCAAAAATAGGAAGGATACGTGGAACTTTAATAACCAACTATAAAGGTTAATTTAATTGAGATTATAGAACGTCCCAAGGAAGAATATAAACGATTTTTAAAAATTCATAGAACATTCATAAAATAATGTCCTAAGATTAAAAAAAAAAAAAAAAACACTTTAATTCCAAATGAGAGAAATTAGACATTATCCGATCACAATTCAGTAGCATTAAAAATCAGCAACAAAGGGATAACTAAAAGCAAAGAAATGTTTAGAGATATTCTTCCGAACGATAGTTAACCAAGAAACTAAAATAACTCAAAATAACCAAACAATTTTAAGATGAATAAAGTTAACAGGAATATTATACTTCTCAATTTCAACACTCAGTAACTTTAAGTAATCAAGACACTGTGGTACCGGCAAAAGGAGAGATACATGGAACAGACTTGGAAATCAAGAAATAAACCCTTACATTTATACTCAATAGATCTTTGACAGAGGATCCTGGGCAAGTCATTGGGGAAAGGATAGTCTTTCTCTGGGAAAGCAGGATACCCACATGTAAAAAGATGAATTTAGACCCTTCTCTCACACTATGCACAAAAAATAACTCAAAATGGTTATTAACTGAAAATCTAAATATAAGAGCTAAAATTATAAAACATTTGAAAGAAACATAAAAGAAAATCTTGATTAGACTAGAGTTCTTAAACACTCTAAGCCAACTACCAGGAAATAACTAATTAAATATACATCGATTAATGAATACACACACTGGTTGAAAATAATGAAGTAGAATTATATGTAATGACAGGGAAAGCTTTCCAAATATATTATATAACATGTTAAGTCACAGAACATTATAGAACAAGCCCACATGAAGAAAACCAATGTTATCACAATTTGCATACAGAGCACATAATTTGACCATTATAATAAGACAAAATATGCTCTAAGGAGCCATTCTGGAATTATGCAAATATTTTAAAATTCTATCCTTAAGAAATCTAATTATATCATTTGTATATTACTGTTTATTATTACTGAGTTTAGGTTTCTGATTTAATGTATCCATCACAAATGCCTCTAGAGATATGAAAAACAAATATATTACAGGAGAAACTAATCTCTGCATAAAACAAGTTTTAATGAATTTTCTACCATAGCACTTTACATTCTAAATGTAGTTGCTGGTTTACTCATCTTGTAGCTATTTAATGTAAATTTAAATTAAAATAGAAAAAAATTAAAATTCATTTCTTCAGTTGCACTAGCCACATTTCAAGTATTCGATAGCCACACATGGCTAGTGGCTATCATGTTGAACAATGCAGATAACTAAATTTTTTTCCTCCTAACGGAAAGTTCTTTTTGAAAGTAATAGTCTAGATATTATCAGTAAAGATAAAAGACCCCTTAGGTTAGTTGAAAAAGTTTTGACATCATTTCAAATGCTTTTAAATTTTAACTCACCATGAATCTCTTTGATACGAAGTGTATTCTGATGCATTCCATATTTTAAAATTAACTGTTCCAGATAGTAGAAAGTTTTTTTGTGCAAAGTCTAAACATAAATGCATTTATTAGGTTAATAGATGGAAAAAAAAAAAGAAAAGAAAAGCCACCTATAGATAGAGCATACTGATTTTTAAAACAAAAACAATCTTGAAAGATTACCCAAAATGTAATAATGATATATTTCTAAAGATGAATGCTCCAGAAACATAGACTATCCTCAGTGCATGAAGGATTTTGGAAAAGGAGGAAAAGAAGGTTTTACTAGCTTTTTATAACTGACAAAAATAAAATACAAGATGGTGGATTCACGCACCCACTTTCTCTCATTACCTTTTGCCTGACTTGAACCACTGCCTTCCAGAAATCCTTAGCTTCTACTCTATGGCAATCTCCACACATTTGGGGCTGTACAACATAATCCACCACAAACACTTGCTGAAGGATAGCACCATTCATCACCTGATAAAGAAAACGATCACATTCTTTCATTCTTTCTTCTCTGATTAATAACAAATATTTTTCTTAAAAGTAGACACTTTAACATTTAACTTAAAATCTTTTTCCATGAATGCTTTGAGGACATCAATGATACATCAGTTAAATTTAAAGTCATAAAAATAAGTTATACTATTTCAAGAAAGATACATAGGTTTCATTCATAGGATTTATTAGATTAACATTTTAAATTTACCTTTAGCTGAAGTGGTTGTAAGGATATTCTTTGTAGAATTTTTACATCTATATATACTTGTGTGTCTATGTGTGTATGTGTAAAATTCATTCTTAGAAGAAAACATAAGACAAAAAAACTTTCAAAGAACATCCCTTAATTTAATCATTCCCAAACATTGCCAATCATCAGAAATCACCTGGGAAACTTTTTAAACATATTCCTGGGTCTCACATCCAGTTGAATCCAGTCTGATTCATTTACTGTGAGTCATGATGATCAGCCTAGTTTGCGAAGCACCGCCTTAGCTCATGTTTTTACTTCAATTCTTTTCCTAATAAAAATAACTTTGAAAAGATTATCTTAGTCCACTAATCATGAGCAATGGCTGCTCTTACTAGTGACCTGATAATCTGTGCAAAAGGTAACAAAGGGTTAAAATTTAGAGTGTATTCATTTACTTTTAAGCTGCTTAAGTCAAAAAATAACTTACAAACAGACCCCAAAGTGTAACTACCTACACTTTAACCAGGCTTAGAAAATGATACACAGCTTACCTCCTTCTGAATAGTCAGTTTAACTTTAAGTCTCTTAGAATGGGGCTCAGTCCAAACAAAGCCTGCATCTACAAGCCGTACCTTCAACAAACAAAAAGAAACAAGTTCCCATATAAGAAAAAAGATGAAAAATAATTAATAAATAGATTACATAAAATGTTTAACAAAGGTGATTAGCATCACTACGCAACATAACCAGTAAAAAAAATTATCATCAAAGGTATGGCAACAAAAAACAGTAAATAAAAGGACAACCTAATTAGATTTTAACTGGTATATTAATGCAACTGGTATAATTCAAGCAAAAAAAAAAAATATTTGCATGGGGAAAAAAATTCTTTTCCCCAAAAAAATTATACTTTTTTTTTTAATGGAGATAATACTTTTTACGAAAAAGTAACTATGTGTAACCTCATCATCTACTCTAAACTCTTGTGAACAAAAGTTTCTGCTTGGATTATTCTTTGTGTTAGCTTGTGGCTCAAAAAAAAAAACGAACATTCATTAGAGAGGATCTCATACACTGAATACTGAATCCACAATGGTAACCTCTGCCAAATCAACAGGATCAGTAGAAGCCAAAAACAGTATGCTATATGTGAGAAAGA